GTTTGTTATCCACAGCATTGTCTAGTATTGCAAGGTGAAATTGAGAAGACAAAATGGAATATCTGTATCGGTTGGCAGATTTCTTTCTAGAATTTGATGGAAACAAGTGGGCACATTTTTAAAGTATGCAAATTAGAATTAGACTGTGGACAAGTTGGCCTGAACATTTTGGCTGAAAATGTTTTCCCCAAAACACTTGGTTGACTTCTCAGAGGGGCAGGGGTAGTTTAGCATTATTGGCATTGATTATTGGACTAGTATTGCTGTGGGATTTGTACTTGCCTTATTGATCTAAAAGATCCTTAGAAGTGAATGGAATCATCACATTGTCATTTGTTAAACCCCGGCTTTTGCAGGTCCTATGCAACCCATTTGATGGGCGACCGACGACGCACGACCAACGACGCACGACGGACAACGCACAACGGACAACACACGATGCACGACGGGTGACGGAAAATGGCATGTTTGAAACTGGTCAATGGCAGAATTGGGACCCAACAAAAAGCAAAAAGCAATGGACGACGGCAGAAAAATGGCTGACTGGGGAAGAGCAACGTAAGTCTGACTTGATTAAAGTCCAAGAGGTTGCAGGTTCAAATCCCACTGTAAGTGTGACGTCCTTTGATAGACCATGCAGGGGGGAAAACAAATCGGACATAAGAATCACAACTTGGGGATAAACCTTTTCAACGTGTGCAATACAGTATGATTGGATGACAAACAAGCAATGCATGTCATGCATATCATCGAAGAAGTGCACAATGATGTTTCTTCTTAATTTATGTACTTGAAATCAAGACGCTCTTTTTCACACCCGTCTGCATTGTAGATTTGAGATCAAGTCATTCATAAAAATACATTTCAATGCTGAACAGAAGTAGAAAATTTGGGGATCGTGCAATGAGCTAAAATGACAAATCAGAATCAAAACTCGATACCATTCATCTCCCATGATCATGTTCATTTTTCAGCCTTTTGTAACAGGTGCCCTTTTGAAAAAAACAGCAAGGGGCAATTTGTTCTTGTTACAGACTTCTAACAAATTGTTATTTTAAATCTTTCTTGTATACTATCCATCCATCACCAACTTGATGAGCAGGTCACGCAGGTACTGCTGAAATTGTTTTCTGACGCATGTTTGAACAAAATTGAAGATTTGAAGAAAAATTTATTTTTGATTCCATGGCTCACTTCCTCTGTAAATTTATGCATGAAACACATAACTTATCAATATCATCCAACATGTCCAATCCCATGACGAAATGAGCATGTCAAAAAGGTAAAAAATTGTCCAATACTTAATAGGACTCTGTTCAAACATGTCAAACTTACATGTGTAAAACCATTCCTCTACTAAAACCACCGAATACTACATTTTGGAACTTGAAAAAAGCTGGACAATGGTACTTGTTCAAGCTCTACTGAGTGGAGCGTTAGTAAAGGTATTCCTCTTTTTCAAATTTTGGACTGGATGCTGATCCAGTCCAAAATTCAAAAAAGAGGAATACTGGGGATTGCAATCGATTGTAAATTTGGCATGCTTGGGGACTCTGCTCCTTTAATTGAAGGAGAGTTACATTTTAACTTTTGAATTGACCTTGGTAGATGACTGTGACATCATGCTGACTAACTGTAGGGTTGATTAATGTCAAAAAAGGGTCAGGTTTTGAGAGAAAACTGTGAGTGTTTTAAGACAGGACACACGGTAAGATGGTGGATTCAAATTTGCATGGCTAATTTATCAGTAATACAATCACAGTTTTCCACAAGTTACAATTTGAAATTTTCAAAAATAGGGTCAGCCAATAAAGAGAGTGTTGCAAGTTTTGCAAGATGAAAATGTCAAAAAAAATGGGGATCCTACATGTACATGTAAGTAAACAATCTACAGTAACAAACTGACGCTCCACTCAGCACTTAAGTTAATGTTAATTAAGGCGGTGTTGTTAGTACGACGACATGATGAACAGTGTCACTCACACTCAGGGTGAGCATGGTGTTCTGGTGATGGAGAAACAAAAGAAGGCTGAATTCAGAGCTCGGGAGAAGATTTAGTCAGTGAATTCACTTACCAAAACCGGGGGCGAAAAGTCCAGGATGAATTGGAAACTGGAAGTCAACGAAGCCAGCTCCGCGCTAACTGTCAGGCTGTTGCCAGTTGAATATTTTGATACATTAGAACTAGTAGTAGGCCTATGCAGCATCAAAGTGTCACTGTAAGCGATAACCGCGGTCATACCCACTGCTAGACCAATTTTTTTTTTGGGGGGGGGGGTAGTCTGCTAATACTAATAATAGTGCAATTAATTAATTCTCCACATGTCAACCCATGCTGCACCATGCACTTTTCGCTGATGTACACGAACCAGTACGTACGTACGTAGTACCTTACCACAGATGGCAATAATTTGCAGCGGAAGGGGTGAACAAACTTTCAGTTAAAGAAAGTTTGTTGACATTAAGCTTGAGGGCGCTTTGGTGTAAACAAGCCACTGTTTGCTGTGTCACGTCAGGCTACTGATGAATCCCCCCAAGAGAAAACCTGATGAGGAGTTATCAGAGTCTAGATATTGAGTTTCTTAAATGGAGGTTGTTTAGTATGGGCAGAGCCATTTTGTTAATGCAATCAGTTAATGCAAAAGTGCACCGACGCTGCTTACCGCTAAATTTTACCCATTTTAACAGGATGCATGTCCACTTCCTTTCAAAAACTTTCATTTGAATTCATCGGATGGATTGTGTCTCATTGTTTGAAGACTTCATCCATTCATCCCCACTACCAGAACCACAGTGGAGCACATAACCGCGGGAATTTCACGAAGAAAACACCACAAAGAAACTTGAAAATAACCAGAAGTCATGAGTCGGAATTATGTGATTTTATGGTGTTCATTAATTTAATCAGTGCAAATTAACGGGTTAAGTCACTATACTAGTACCACGAGATTATTCATACATATCGTGACAGGTAACTTTTGACGATGATGGCCGTTTAAATTGTGCAATGTGAGATGTGGCATTTTGAAGCTTCATCAAATAATCCATATTTGAATTCAATATTATGTTGATCACATGTACAGGTACAATATTTGATGAATGTAATGACAGACCAGTGTCACGCACCTGCTACGATTAGAAATTTGAAACTGCATGACAAAAATGGTACCAGTCGAGGTGTAATAGAGCCCTCAATAGATTGGCTCAGTGTACAGCTGTTTTCAGCAGACTTTTCGTCCTCTGCATACAAATATTTGCTTTAAGTAATTACATTCCGGCTATTACTAAGGCAGTTCAATTCTCACCAACACTTAACAGTTTTACGTTCAAACTACCAAAATTTTAATCACAACGAAACAATTCGCTTGCCAATTAATTGGGTAAGGAATTCAAGTTAAGGGGGGGTCAACTTACCACCAAACAACACAGTACCGAGCCTGAGTGTAAGTACACATGTACACTGTATTTGTAAACATTATCGGACGCTCACACAACTCTGAAAAGAAAAGCATCAGTCCTCACGATCCCGGAATAGAAAAATGTATATATAGAGTACAGTATATTGACATTCAGTCATTTTTGCGCGAAATCAAATGTACCTCCGCAATCCTACATTCATCTTAATTTGAATTCAATCGATTTTGCAAAATGCGCAGGCGATTTCGCGCGAAGTGTTATCTAAAGGTATGCCTGTTCAAGAATTAGAATACTTTTGTGTGCTAACAAAAGTTATATGTGTAGAAGGGCTTAGTTGAATGGTTACATGTTTGAATATTCACGACTGAAATAGGTCATTCATGTCGTCTTTAAAAACATACTAACTATTGTACCAATCCTTTACAAACACCGACGCTGAGGTAACCTTTCCTTCTTGTGCTACATTTTTGTCAAAATCAAAATTCACGCATGGCCTTCTTGCAGTGGCTGAACGGGAAGATACAGAAAAATCATAGACTTTATTTCAGTTGGTGTACAGTTTGATGACAAACACACTATAATCCTTCATGAGTAACATTACATTCATTATCAAAGTGGTGTCATGATTTCTGTAACCCTGTATATTTCCAATCAAATGGAATGCAAATTTTGTGAATTTGAATTACAGCAAATGAAAATGAATACTCAATACCGACAGTTTACGGTTAAAGACAGATTTTCAGTGAATAACATTGCACATTGGCTACAACTGACAACGAATATGTCAAATTGAAATCCTACTCACTTATCTGTAACCTCTTAAATGAAACACAATGCACATTCGTTTGAAAGATGGAAAACAAAGTCGAATGCTTGTATTACGAAAATGAAACCAGGTTTTAAGTCGTTTTCAAAATCCACGCCAAATTTAATTTTTATTCTACAAATTAAACAGCCCATTTTCCAAAATTGGCTGGGAAAACCTATAGTTATGAACCACCAGTGAGCGGCTATCGATTTTCTTACAGTCACTTTCGAATCAATGTTGACAGCCTTGCATCTATTAAATAGTGTGAAATCAACTTGTCCCCGAAGAGTGTATGTGAGCATTACATTGACCTGAAAATTCAACACCTCAACAGAAATTGTCATATACTTATTTCGGCTGATTTAAATCCAGACTGAGAGACACTCAATTAAGGTGCAGTTGCAAATCTTTCAAAACTTATCGACTATTTTTTTTAATTTCAAAAGTGAATTACAATGTCCCATATACTGTCAAAACAACACTGAACATTTGACATTAAACAATTTCTGACGTGTTCAACACTTAGGTGTTATAAATAGGTCAGCGTAATTAATACTACTGAAGTTCCACTACAGACAGTATGAAAATTGTTTTACAATTCATCAGGCTCAGCTCTTGATTACTGTTGCTTACAGGGACATGTCACACACAGAGTCATTCCCTTCAAGGACTTCGGCGGGATTTGATTCCGGTTCCACGGCCGCACCCAACAAAGTGGGCAAACTGATGCTGATGTTGGACGGGGAAACTGATGGGTTATCCTCACTTGCTTCATTCTGATCCTTCTTGATAGTGAGGGTCTTAGGTGCTTCCGAGCTCCCCCTCATCAGCAGACTTACTTTGCAACAGGCAAGAGCAATCTAGGATTCAAAAGGTCATAATAAATGCACTTTCTATGTCATGTTGGTGCTTGTCGTTGACTTTGTGAGGAATTCATATTTTCCTCAGTCAAGGGAAGAATCAAAAGATTGCAGGATGAAAAATCAAACAGGGAACAGGCGATTTTTAATTCTCACAGTTTTTGTAACACCTTTCTTCGATTTTTGAAAAACACAGTATACACCTGAGCAATTTGTATCAGAATTTAACCCTAAAAAGAGCCCGGTTACCTCGGCTCATCTCACAGCAGGGGAGGGGGCATTCCACCCCCCGAAAACTCGGCTGTACCTTGCTTGATTCTTTGAAACGTGGCAAGCATGTAAATACACTCCTTATTATTTACAACTGTGAAGTTTGAACTTAATCAGGAATAGAGTTTTGTTATGGTCATTTGAAGTTCAAGGCTGCATGTGAGCCAGCCCTTGTGCATTGAGCACCGCAGTGGAAAGAGTATACATTTTTGCCCGACTCGTCTGGGAAAAATGCACCTTGCGCAAGAACGGTAAGTCCGATTTCACAAAATTGGTGTCAAAATGACCACAAAAAAATCATTCTAAAAATTCTCAAGGGCTCGACTCCTGAAAAATATGCACTGCAGCGATATTTATCAGGAAAAATGTTTTGAGGGGGAGAATTCCGCCATGGCTCTTTTATAGGGTTAAAATTAGGGATGATATCTCTGTAATAATGAGAATGGTAATACCTCACCTCTCTCGATCGAAAAGATCATTAAAATAGATACGCCCACGGTAAAATATTTGGCATGCATGGGTCAGAGGTCAGATGACACCAAATGTATAGGCCAATGCACGACTCACCTGGACACAGCTGAGGGCACAGAAGATGATTGACAAGACGTCTGTCGCAAAATACAAGGACAGAAGCCCTAGGCACCAGGTTCCTAATGTCAGGTTGCAGATCCCTATGGCTGCCACAAGGCATCTCTTCAACTGCCCGAGAGAAGGTTCCTTCTTCGACTTGCCGAGTATGTGCCCCACCAGAACATAGTGGACCAAGTTGTTGACCAGGATCAGACAGATCGGTAGGAGGAGGCTGAAGTACATCGCCAGATTTGGGGCTAAAAAGCAGCTGTGCGTGACACCAAAAAGTATTAAGAGAGACTGTTTGATGCCACACTACGGACATTCGTCGAGGTCACCATTCAAAAGAATTTAACTAATTCTTTTCTCCATCTCATAGTTAATTTGATTTATTTGCTTGTGTGCTTATTGAGACGAATATTACGCGGATCAATTTCCAAGAGATGAAATTTCCTTTCATCCTCCGAGCAAGTACAAATTAATTTTATCAGCCATGGATCTCAGTGCCTCAGGTGTTTGTATGTACCCACACCCTTTACAGCTAAATGGTTTTCCTATACTAGTAAAATTTGGCAAAAATAATGAAGCATTACGACTCCTAGAGTTATTCCCAAATTTCCCTATGGAATGCAGGAGAAAGTATTCTTACTAATCAGCATTGCCGTACTGGTCAGTTGCAACGATCAGCGGAATACCGGTCACTATCAATGGTAATCCTAGAAAAAAGAAATTAACATAAGGAAATATCAGGGAAGTTACGTTAGTTGACAGCTCCAGAGAATGACTTCATTTCTTATGATCTTCCAGAGAATGTACACCTCTTTATTAACAAATGGGACAGGATCTTGGCAAATGTGTCTTTAAAATGAATAACTGCATAGATATTATGGGGGATAATGAGGTGTAAAGGAAGGGTGGATTTAGGTGAGGACGTGTCTTGGCAGGTACTCCCTAATTCTGATCAATGTATATAGGTGTATAATTTTCAATAAATTATATTATCCGTAAAAAATTGAAACCTCCATAAAATAAATTTAAAAAGCGAATCAAAACATAAACAGTACTGCAAATTGCAAGTTGGTTCACTGCAAATGGCCATTGGCTTTAATAAGCATATTTCATGACACCTGAGCCCGGCCGCCTTGCTGTGAAAATCCTGTTGAAAATCAACAGAATTCTAAAAATATAAAGTTTTTCTTGAATAATCTTGACAAGTAATAGAGAGAGAAAAAAAGAAGCATGGTGTGTTGTGAAAAGAAAAGTGCGGAAAACACAGCAACTGCATAGTGTTAATTGTGTCATCCTAAAGCTCCTATGAAATTGGCCTATGTACTTAAACAGAATAGTATCACCGGCGGCGCAACGATTTTCAAAGTGGGGGGGGCCCACTGGCTCCCTGCTCCCCCCCCCACTAATTCCACCACCAGTGAATAGTACATCACTGTGAACGTACCCCAAGCCACAATACTAGCTATGATCATGAAGTGTTTGTACTCCTCCGTTGATTGCCCATGTAGTGCTACGGTATACATATTTCTTGCCTCAACGGCTGTCCACATCATCGTGGCTAGGGGTAAATAGTGCAGCAACGCACTCACAATAACACAACCGTATGTTGAACCCTGTTGATAACAACAATAGCAGTATTTAAATATCATGGAGGACATGGTTGGAGCGAACCAGATGAAAAGGCAATTAGAAACTGGAATCACAAAGAAATTGGAATCACTGTATAATTCCAATCTGAAGTTTCTTTTCACTTGTATATGCAGTCATGTGGATGAGTGATACATGTACATATGTCCCTTTCTGCATCAGACCGTTCTTTTTGGCAGTGCGTACATAAGCATTAATAAGGGGACACATGCCCTTCCCCATTGGACGTCTGTGCCGTCTGGCTCCCCCCCCCCCAAAAAAAATCCTGAAATGAACACTATATACACTACCAGAACTGCCTAAGGTTTTTCGATGTGCACATACGCTAAGGCCAATTAAGCGAGAACAACATTGGGAAATGCAGCGATTATTTCTAAGATTTGAAAGTAAAAGTATTTAACTATTGCGAATTTGCATTACAGCAACTCTGTTTTCATTAGGAAAAGTGGGGCCCACTGATTTGAACTCTTTCCATCCTCAGTCAAATTTAATCTGAATGACATTGAGTTCTTTTTCTGCCTTTTTTATGATAATATGCAGCACGATTATAAAATGAAAGACATTTAAAGAACAGAAAACATTCATTTCATACGTTATACATTATATATAACATACAATACAGCATTGCACCAGACAACATACATTACCCTTGCATTGTCAACTCCAGCCACAAACACCGTGTACATTATCAATAGTGCGAAGATAAACTGGGAAAACATTTGGCCAGACTTCCTTTGGCGCAGGTTCCTTGCAAAATAAAAAACATAACATTAGCAATATAAGAACACATACTGTTCCACCCTAACTTTAACGAGATTCATCTACAAAGCAGACAGGTGCAAAGTATGGGGCCTACAAGTAGTACTACAGTAGGGTAGGCTTTTTTAAATTCTTGAAGGCACATAATGCTACCATCCCCTTTCCGGGAAAGGGAGGTTAAGGATTCTTTTACGGATGTGAAAAATTGGAAAATCAGTTTTGGGGGAAAATCCATTCTGCCCTCAGCTGATGATAAAGCTTGATTTCTAATCGTGAAAATTAAATTTGTTTAAAATCTTCAGTGTGATTAGCACACGTTGAAACTCTGAATACGTGTGGGCCTACTCTTTTTTATACAACAACAAAGCAAAGTACATCTTACCTTAATGGTATGTACATAAGTAAGATTGCCATGTACATTCCAGCAGAGGCAATACAGCCTATCTGGGTGATTGGGTTTAATCCACGATGATACGACTTCAATTCCTCCTGTAGCTCCTAGCAAAAGTAACAGTTTAAAAGTGTGTACCACAAATGTTATAGGCACAATGTCTTTTCTGCAGCTGGTAGCTGTCACCAAAGGCTGTTACACAGCTATCTTTGTAAGAAAAAGCGGCTACTTACACACTACGAGCTAACGGGTTGGAATATTACATGCTTCCAACCCCACCCCCCAAAAAAAACATGTTATTAGCTGTTCTGATGGCGTGTAGGCCCTAGTGTTTCCAACATTTATGCAGGAAACCAAACTAAACACAAAGACCTTTATTAATACAAACTTATGTTACTCAAAGAGCCATTGATATCTTCATGACAGTTATATTTATGCAACAGTTCCAATAAGCCTATACAGTATACAGTGTATACATGCCTACGCTACAGGATCATGGATAAGACACTAACAGTTTGCGATGTCGCCATTTTTCAGTTGGGCAGCTCTTGTGAGTGAGCAATATGATTCACCAAATGCTTTAGTAAACAAACGAGCCTACTGGGCCCTCACATTGCACGCGTACGGGCCTTCACTGAATCATAGAGTGTTCACTAACATTTTTGTCCTCAACAGTATACGAAATAAGGAAAACTATCCAATCCTTCTTATCCTTTTAGGTTGCAAGTCTCCACAAACTTATTTCAGTCCTTATTGGGTAACACTTACAACAAACACTGCAAAGTTGGTCGCATGGTTACAAAGACATTTGTATATTCCATTAGTCACTCCATGCAACTCGCATCCAGCGTTTGACCAATCGCCGACTCCGTTCTTTAAAGTGAAGTCCCAGAACACGCAGACAGCTTCTTTCACATTGGTCATCTCAGGAAGCTGTAATTAATGATTAAAACTGGCTGACATGAAAATGGTGACAGATGCAACTGTTCTTGCCAACTCTGACAGCTTTCTATGGCCTCCCTGACAAATAATTCACAATAAAAATATTTACTGTTGAGAGAAGAAATGCATGCATTACAATACAATGTCCTTTACAGGAGTGTAAAGGGAAGTTGCAGTACTTTACATAAGCCCTTCACATTGTGTGGGAACTATATGGTGACAACAATGTCAAACCCACACAAATTCGCTTTCAGCCTGTTTACGGGTAAAAGAAATCATGTCGTTTTTTCCCAGTCGACTAAACTTGAAGGCAATGCTGCTTTAGAGGGGAATGGAATTGTATACAGCATGTCCATGGGTCTAATCCTGGATTTTACAGTGTTTCTTTTCTGAATTTGTTTCCTGCTGGAAAAGATTTCCTGCCTAATTCCTTTCCTTGGAATCTGTTCCATTCAAAACACTCACTTCAGAGTGTTGTCAACTTGAGTCTGCTTCGCTATTAGCTTGGCAATTACATCACATAATACGATAATAATGGTTATTTCAAATGTTAGCATTGAAAGAGCCTGTTTATTAGCCGCAGTGATGGGTAGTCGGGTTTGATTTGACTTGATTCGATTATTGCATGTCATTAAAAGGTTAACAAAATGCAAATTTTATAAAAAGGATACAAAACCCACTAAGATGTCCATGTATTTGTATACTCGTGGTATCAAAGTAAATGTGCCAGCAGTTGTATATTATCATACTTTGTGATGCATGTGCCGTGCTAACTAGTGGGGGGCTTACCACTGCCGATAACATGTTGAGAGTGAGCATAATTTCCAAGGATACACGATCTTAAACGTTACAAATTCAGACAACAAATTCAACACCCTTTCAAATGATCCTTTCCAGCAGAAAATAAAATGAGGAAAAATATAAAAATTAAAAACAGAAAAGTCCCATCTTGGATTCGAACCACAGACGTTCTAAATTCAAATTATTACCTTGCCCACTACATGTTTACCAAAAATAGTCCAGCTGAACCAGCCTCCGTTTTTGTCAATGTTTTGCCTTACCAACACAGCATATAACACTGTTCAAGCTGTGAGGCATTTCCAATGGCTTTCATTACCAGCAAGCTTCAAACACTGGCATTTTGCAGTAAAAGCCTGGTTTATTGACGGCGGTGAATATTCAATCCATGTGGTAGAATGCAGGAATCTCTTTTCATAGAAAAACACTTATCTTTTCTAACGAAGACCCATAGCAAACAGTTATGGATGTTTTTCTACTAAAGGCTAGGATACTGATTTATCCAACAAATTATTATATAACTAAACTTATCATTGAACTCTATTTTTTCAAATCCGCTATTCTATCTATCTATTGTGTTATTTTAGAGGGTTTTCATCTTTATGACTGTCCAGTGTCACAAGTTGGGGACGGAGGTCACCTTACCTGAAACTGAACGACTACGGGTTCAGTTAGATTCACAAGTTCTACATCCTCCACAGAAAGGGAGACTATGGCACCAGGAATCAGTGACCTGATTCCCTTGCTTGATTGGGACTTTCTCATTGTACGAGAAGATGGAAACAAAGTGTCGTCAGCAAAGGCGATGAAACGGGCAGCAATCGGCCTTAGCGAGCTGTTGCCTGAAAACATCAGAGGATCAGGCTGACGATATTAAAAGTTGTCGGAACAGAATTGACTCTGATAAACAAATTTTTACTAGGAATACTTGCCTCTGACCCCTGTTAAATCGCACTTTCAAACATTTCAAAGTTTCCTTGCACAGGAAAATTATTATGTGCCAAACACTTGAATCAGATGAGTGCAAACGTCTGTATTCTTTCATCGAGTGAATCTTCCTTAATTTTGGCAACTTCATCAATGCTGTATGACTTGTCATCAAAATAATTACTGATGTTGAGTCACAACCATGCACACATCTTTTTCAGTCTTTTGGTTTATAAAATTATTTGTTGCCTAAAAATCAGAACACTGTAATTTTTCAATAATGGTTCTTCTGTTTCCTGCAGAAAGTTGGCTCTTACCCTTCTGCAAAACAAAAATGTGACTAATCTCAAAAATTGAGTGTTTGGATCTTCCAGTAATACAAACCATTCACTGTCTTGTTCAGTGCTGAGAGATTAGACGGTAGACTGACTGCTGCAATCATTCCAGGTGGCAGGTCCCCTGTCTTCTCATAAACTCTGACCTCGGCCCCAGCAAAGGCACCAGTCTCCTCTGACGTTGATTCGACTGAGGACAGGAGATCATCTTGACGCACCAGTGTGAAGTTGAGACCACTCTCCACCTCGGAGGAGTTAAGCCTGACTGTTTCCACTTGGATGAAATCCATCTGAATGCTGACCGTGCCCTGCTGTCGAAGAGCAACAGAGACCTGTGCCTCGATGGACTGAGCGATGGAGGTGAGCTTGCCCGCCTCTACGCTACTGGATGCTTCGAGATTCCTTAAAAGGCCAATTATCTTGTTGGTAGCATCTAAGAATTGAAAGGTAACCTGGAATTTCAAAAAGAGCAGATGAGATTCCTTGACAGTATCATCATTCAAGTGGTGTGATCTAGTACAGCACGTTGCTCAAAACAATATTGACGCATGAAAATTTATTACACACCCGTGTATCTTTGAAGACCACTGGTCAGTTTTGATCCTTGTTCATATCGCAGGCTACAAGATGATGTTGCAACTCCTATAATGTTTTCAGTATGTAGAATGGACAGGTCCTCTCTTTCATGTGCAGTGTGAAAACTTCACACCTTCATGAGTTTATATGTATTTATAGATAGAAAGTTATAGACAGGTCAAGAAAGTTTAGAAACAGTCAGGAAAAACTGTTTTAAAAATGAAAATGGTTGGTGATTTGTAGCAGATTTTTATCACTTTATAAATATTGTTGAGGAGAGACTGGCAGCCAGATTTGGTTGTGAGGTCGTTGGGAACATATTTTTGTGGAAATCCTTGCGCAGCAGATGGTGTGTTGTTTTAATGGTTGAGACAGTGAAGCAAAGCTGATAAATGAATAACACTGGGTGAAATTTTAGCATGGCTTACATGTTCATTTTGTAATTGAGGGGCCATCTTTTTGCTGTGCTTACTTTGGACACTGTTTGTGATTATATTCCCATATTATATCCGTTTTTCCTACTGAGCTTCGTTATCCAGCAATAGGGGCGATTCACAATAGTGAGCCTCACAGAGTTGGCAATGCGTCATTTTGGTTATTTCAGAAGTACTTTCCCAAGATCGATCGCGATTATGATAAATCTTAAGTTTTCTAGATTTCCCCTCTGTGGAAACTATTGGACTTCAGATTGGTTTCAGAGTTGCAGAACGAAACCATCTTTCTCACGCTGCTCAAGAAATTTAGCTGTATAATTACTGTTTGCTTTTTTCATATATCTGAGAATATTCTAAGTGCAATCAGGAGAATTCTCAGATCGTAACTATGATGTTTAAGAATGTTGTCTTAAGGGCTTGACTAGAATGGCAAAGCCGCCATGGCTTGCTGCTTGTTATGAATTTGAATTTCTTTCCTGTAATAACAGGAAACAAAGAGACATCCAAGTTATACAAAATTATTAATTTAAACAAGAAAATACTAACCAAGCTTCATCAAAATCTTTTACAAGATTGGTTGACATATGACTAAAATACAGATGTACAAGATATTTTACCGACCTTAGCAATACAATTCATTGTACTCTAGGAGAAAAAACCTAGTCGGTGCGGTGTGCAGACTGTGTGTTGAAAGGCGCTTGTCGTTTAAAAGTAAATCAACAAAGACCATCAACAAAGGAGATACAGGTACAAAGGCTTTACAGTTCTTTAGAGGAAAGAGGAATGCTTATAGAATGTGGGTCCATCAGTACAGTCAGACTCAGACCTGGATGATTATATAAGCAGCGCATTTATGAGTTTGATGGTGGTGCATAATTAAAATTCCTCTAGAGTACAGTTCTGCACTTTGTATCCAACCCCATCATCCTATCCTCTACAATTCTACCCTCCATCATCCATATCCCATCATCCCATATCTACCATGTCTACTTTGACTCCACCCCTAATCCCCTCTACATGTATCTCCAATCCCACATCCACCTTATCTTTCCATCCATCTCCTACTCAGCCCCTCCCCATCATTCCCTTCACTTCTTATTCTGACTGTCCCATCATCCCACTAATCCAGCCCAACCATTACGCCAACCTTCATTTCATCCACTTTCTACATACACTGTGATGTACCTTGTCCCCATGATCCTCCTCCTACAGGTACCCCTCCCCCAACCAACATCCTAATCTGTCACCTGGAGTCCCCCCCCCATCCCTTACATTTCCCCACATACTGTACATGTACATTTGTATGTGTCTAAACACTGTCTATACATACACACATGTACATTACAGGAGTGCTCAGTACATACGTACTGTATGTACTACAGGCCTAAGTACACAATACGACTCAAAACGTTAACATTCATTTTTATAATTGTTTTTATTAAATTCCTAAGTTTCTAAGCATTAATGCCATATAAAACTATTTAAATACTGATGGAATTCCAAGAGGAAGCAAACAAGCATTAAATGGCACATTTTAACATCTATGGGCCTGCAAGGAAAAACTTTCAACATGAGGACGCCCGGATGGACAGACAGAAGACGGAAATCGGTATTACATAGGCTCGCACTCACCCCTTGCTTCGCATCTCGCCAAAAAGAAGAAAACGATGCTCTCAAAATATTTCCAGCATCTTGAACAATTATTCAGAAACATTTTTCTTCTTTTAAAACCACAAGTGATATCTTTCGTACTATTCAAAGCTATCATAATCCCATGGACAAGGCATTAAAAAAGCTAGCTAGGGGGTCTTTTGTCACTCAGGGTAGCTTACACTGCACTGCAAAAGCCTACCTCTGGGGTCCCGACGTTTGAGCTAGCAATGTCGTGCAAGATGTGAGACACTTCACTGACATTGCCAGTGGAAAGATCATCATCAATCCGCAGCTTCAAAGACATTAGCTTCAAGTAAACCTCTTGCGCTTTCACTGCATCTGGAACCTGTGACTGATGGAAGACATTAAAACCCACTCAGCAATGAGACCACAATACAGGCTGTTATGATTTACCTTGTAAAGGTCCACTGAGCATATGGCTGAGTGCTCATATTGTTACCTATGACTGAGTCCGTGACCAGACTTGCAATATTAGCCATTTATTGCCAACATTGAATTTGGCAACACCGCAACACATTCAGTAGCTGCAGTTTTATCAGTGAACTAATCCCTCACCAGAGATCACAGAAATGTTCACAGTAGGTACACATACCAGCACGTTCTTGCGCACTTCATCTGAGAGTGACCCGTTTTGTTGTTCTCCACAACTGTGATAATGAGGCTCCTTCCATCTTGCTATACCTTGCTGAACGTTTAATGAGCAGTTCCTTGTGGCGACAGGATTTCCAGCTAAACAGATGAATAAACACCGTTGTCATGCATTAGCCTAGATTAAAATTGGTTAATTACTGGGGAAGCATAATTACTTGGAGTGTTTACGTATGTTCATTCAGAATGCCAAAGACAAAGTTTCAATATGTCTGTATAGTTTGGTTACATCGCTACAAGCACATAAAAATGCTATACCACTAGGATCAAGCACAGGAAGATTGCTTCAGCTACACAGTCTGCAGTTATAGCTAAACAAAATTGTGCTCCAATACAAGCGTTTCACCGTAGAGGGTAGTACGCCTCCAAGAGTTTGCAATGCACTGGCCAATCAAAATGCACAAAATCTGTTGACTCAATGTGCATTTGGAAAGGGTCGCCAGATTTTGCACGTTGCGATTGGCCAACGCGTTGCTAACTCGAGGAGGCGAACTACTGTAAATCGCCCGTATTTGAGCTTTTATATCAAAGACGCTGCAGCACTGTGATGTTTAAGATAACAGCACTGAAGACTGAAATTATGATGGCAAGTTTCGTTCACTTGATGTCAAGTCCTACCGTGGGACGTAAATGGGGCACACTTCTGCGTTGATTCCACCATCGAGCCAGCTTCAGTTGAGGGCCACAACAGCGACCCGAATTGAGGGTTACTGGTCACATCCTCTGAGCAGTTACCTTTTTATAATCGCAAAAACACAAGAGGCCAGCAGCAACGAAATGAAACTGTTTCACGGGAAAGCAAGAGATGAGTAAACAAACACAGCACGCACAGCAGTGAGAAAACGATCTGTAACTTCAGGGGACTCATGAAGACGGACAGAGTACACTGTTTAAAACGTTGAGTTATTCCCCGGTTCTTCTCAGAACCACACATATACTGATACCTGGTACAACTGCAATCATTTTACTCTTCAAATCTGTAACTTCTGCACCATTTAACGCACTTTGTTCGAGGTATAACTGTACATGTAATTTCATAATCATTATTACTTAATTTTGAGGTGTATTTCAAAACAGGAAGAATACTCATCATCTTAATATCACCCCCCCCAGCGGATGCACGCCTGCCCCCGCTTCCCCTCCCCCCATTGAAACTCTTTGAATAATCTCTGTTGAGTCTATATACATGTAGCTATGCATATGTTCTTGTGCGAAGCCACCTTCAAAATATGTGTGTACCCCCCTTGTGCCCCTGGAACATTTAGCCCTATTTACACCACTGAGCAACAGAAAAGAGTACCTGGGCTTGAGTCGGAAAACAGAAATTCTGGGTAGTGGACAGGAAGCCTCGGTAGCAATCCTCCTATGCTTGGGCTGAAGTTTTTGACTGTAAAAATCAATCGCATCTATTGGCATTAATAATAAATAATAATAATTTATTGACTTATATTGCGCTAATTCCATAAAATATGTTCACAAGCGCATTACAATTATTTAAAAATAGCTAAATACAAAATTATAATACATGTAATATGTCGATTAATACAAACAATTTAAACTCAAAATCTTGACAATAATCACATACCATCAAACCATCACAAAACCAATATACAAATTATTAACAAAAGGCTTCTTTAAAAAGGTGAGTCTTCAGTGACGATTTAAAAACGTCAAGGCTAGAAGCATTCCTAGCATTAAAAGGGAATTTATTCCATAGATAAGATAAGGTGCACTGAACTCAAAGGCTCTGTCCCTGTTAAAGAGTAACTTTTTCAAAACCTGCAGGGCACTTCAAATAAATACCATCATTCGACCTGCGAAGGCTGTAACGGGACTGAGACTTGACAGAAACAAGCTGACCTAAACACTCTGGAGCTAAAGCATGTAATATTTTACACGTAATCAATTTTATTTTAAAAACAATTCTGAACCGAACAGGAAGCCAGTGTAGATCCTTAAGCAATGGTGTAATACGACAAAATTTAAATGTGTTATACACAAACCGAGCACAAGCATTTTGGACTCTCTGAAGTTGTTTGATCTGTGTGTCTGGAAGGCGATATAGAAGACTATTGCAATAGTCGAGTCTGCTGGAAATAAATGCATGAATCAATATTTCAGAGCATTCCTTGGATAAATACTTCCTAATTCGTGTTATGTTGTGTAAATAATAAAAAGCATTACTACAAACTTTTGTGACATGCATTCTCATTGACAAATTAACATCGAACCATGCAGTAAGATTTCGGACCAGGGGAGCAGGGGGTAACAACCAACTGCCCAACTTGTATATCCTCCAATGTAACTTTAGACAATTGGTGACAAGTGCCACTAATCAAAAACTCAGTCTTATTGTCATTCAAAAATAGTCTACTATCTGGCACTACTGTGCATGCAACCTCTGCACGTAACAGCATCTGGCATTTGTGGTGTAATTGAAACTTCCAAAATAAATGTAGCAAGAGGAGTTCATAGTGTGATGGCTTGCATACAGTGCAGGACTTAAAATTGGCAGCTTCGTTGGATGAACCAGGGTTTCATCATTTCAGACTCCCTAACTGTAACTTTAAGAAATTATGTTGGTTTTCTTTCACCTTGATAATAAAAAAAAACACTGTACAGTTTGGGCGATTCCAGGGGTGTGTGCACCTTTAACGAAATGCATGGCATGTCAACCACAAGCACTACAATAACTCCTTCAAAAAGTAGCCCTTCCGGTCAAAAAAAAAATAAAATTAAGGCTTGAGGGACACTTTGACAGCACTTGTTGCAAAAATTGATTTGCTCATTCACAGAAAGTCACCTTTGCTCTTTCTTATCTTCGTCACTGGAAACTGATGTGAAGGAAATACATCACTGCTTCAGACTCGCTTGCATAACGACTGTCTTGATCAATGCTTGCACTTTAATAAGTGCACACGTATCACACGCATGCAAAAGTTGTAAGCTGTGTCTAGGGGTGAACGTCCTCCACCATCTACCACATCAACATTGGCAAGCTGAATAGCAGCTAATCCCCCCCTTCTAATGTGACTGTGGATCCCGAGTGGGACCTTGTAAACTAGATTGTAGGCATCGAGTACGCAAAATCGAACTGACATTTCTCACCTCGAACAGATATGTAAAACGTGCATCGGTGACTTTTATTCTCCGTGCCGTTTGGACCAACCGCCACCTCCACCCTTGTCAAATTGTTGTACCTGACCAGGGGATTGTAAGTGACGCCAAACGCGTCGCCGCTCGCACACGGCCTTGGGGGGGCGCTGTCATCAATGGACTGACAAGTTGTTTGTTCCTCATAACTTCCAGGCAAGTTGACAGCGGTTGGCTGAGTCCAAGATACGTTGGCCACTGAGTGTTCAGGAGGAATGACCACCTCGATTGTAGGGAGTCCAGTCCCAACTGATGAAACCTCTGGAGGGGGGCAGGTACTTCCGAATGCCGCTGATGAATAAATACATTGTAAATATGTAAACTTTCAGTCATAAACTTTTCATTCTTTGGAACATTCTTTGGAAACAATTGAATGTTGGGCTATAAAGAAATGTCGAACAGGTTAAGGGTTCAGAGGTGACTCTGCATATGAAAACCAACTGACCGAAAATCTCTGTGTTTACACAAAGCTGAGCACCTTTAAGTTGAATGCAAAACTTCATCGTTTGACCCAATGGAGCAGTAATAAAAGATGTCTGAAAAATGCATCCTCGCCGTGGACTGTCCGAAGCCTGGGAGGTGTAAGGGGGCACATGCCCCACCCTGGTTCACCTCCCCTTTTGAAATCTTGAGTGTACACCACGCAAATAACTGGGTACCTTAAATGTACAGTGAAGCAAAGAAGGGGAAGGAGCTATAGCGACTTAGAAGATGAACCGAAAAACCAAGCTTAAAGCAGAAAGATACGATGTTCTTTGATATCAGTAAGATTCACTTAGCAGAAGACGAAGGTGTAATCTGCTTTAAGGAACGTGAATTTTTAGATTTTCTTAACTGACACATTAGGAGGGGGATGGGTAACTTACTGATGTGTGAAGAATAAATTGGGCCCAAATTTAATGGTGCTGACAAGAAAGAAATTCTGTGGAGTTTAGAGTTCAAGAAGATCATCAGAGAAAATAGATCTAGGCCATTGTATTACGAGTGTTATTAACGGCAAAGAGAATGTAAAGCTGTAGCAGGGAATCTCCAGTGGCATATCCAGAGGTCAAGTAGCCCCCGTGCACGGAGCTTTTTTTTTTTTTCAATTTAATTTTCTTTGGGGGGAGGGGAACGACAGTGCACACACTTTAGAAACAGAACAAGCACTTTTTTGGAGGGGGAATGTTCTTTACAGAGGAAAAAGTTGGACTATTGTTTCAGATAAATACAATTGTGTCCCCTGGACTTAAAAGCTCGATAGTACTGGGGATATTGTACATTGATAACAGGAAAAACAAAAGAATAAAGGATACCAGTTAAAGACAAAATTGCATATTGTAATTACATTGTAAGCCGCACAATTGTGGTTTGTAGCTCGCCCTTTAGGTGGTATGGATGAAGTTTTACAGTTTTTTTTAAGAGCTGGCTAAATGGTACTCCAAATGGGAAGCTATACAACAGAAGTTCCGTTGACGGCAAAGAAGATCATAGGGGATGAACGAGCAAGTCTCACAAGGAAAATATAGAGAAATCCATGTATGTACATGTAGCTGTGAATATGGGATGGAATAGCCGTGGCAAGATTAAAAGTTTTAGGAAAATTACCAGTGATAAATAATTTCATTAAAAAAACTATGAAATTCGCAACCAGAAGTGTTGCAACGCTTCATTTCAATTTTATTTCGTTCGTAAGCTAAAACAACAAAGAAGTCGTAATGGATCACTGGTGGCTAATGAGAACAAAGTAAAATTTTGCTGACCAATTTTACGTGCTGATGCTGAAAAATATAAATATCAATTTAAATAAATAAATATAGAATATTCAGCGAAGTACATTTACCTTTTCTCAGTTGCTTTCAATCTCTTTTATTGATGGTGTTTTTGCCGTCGGTTATTGGGCGTAATAGTTTCTATTTTGAGGATAAGTGTCCAAGGTTCTTGCAGCATTCATTGTTGACTTCAGTAGAGTTGCACTAAAACAATTCTATCTTGATGGGTAAGGTAAAGTGATGGACTTACCATTACATATCACGCCTGCGGTATCTTGGCATGGGTGCGCTGTCCCCCATGCTGAGATTGGACAGTCAGCCAGTCTGGTCTCATTACCAATGCACTGGGGGGATCTCAGCCAAACAGGGCCGCTACCCCGTCCGAAGAGGGAATAGTAGACTGGGGCTTCTGCTCCGTCGAAGCCCAACTGGTTGCAGATGACTGTTGCATCATTGATGCCCCATCCGGAGGAGCAGACAGTTCCCCACTGACCTCTGAAGAATATTTCAACTCGTCCAGAGGCATAGGACATACCGTCCACAAGACGAACTGGAAAGGTTTCATCTGCACAAATGTGTAAACCTAAATGTTCCACACCTCAAAGCTCTTATTTTTCAATTTTTGATTCATTTCAATTCCTATGATATAAATACATGCACATATGCTCCTTAATCTTGATAAAAAAAACATATATCAAACCATACTATCAAAACCAAATTCATGAGAGATGATGCCGTATGAATGCCTATGTATGTGTTTATGCTTTGATAGAGCTGTGAATCACACTGTAAGGAGGTTTGAGCGAGAAGCAAAGAATACCATGATTATCACTCGCTTTACCTACATGTAATTAGTCTGGCGTAATTAGTCATACTTTCAAATACTATTGCATAGGTAGTCACCCGTTTGGCGTGGCCCTTAGTTTGGCACCCATATCACATTTTTTGAGAATATTATATTACCAGCAAGCTTAGTAATGTTGCAATTTGTTTTTAGTTTGGTTTATTGATAGCATTGTGCAGTCACATTGGGTACATTTTAAACAGAGCCTCTATCTAAAAAAAAATGCAAACAGAAAGGGAAAAATGTTCCACATCAGACACGACAAAATGCATTCTTTTGTAAGTAGTGAATGGAAAAGTGTAACATTTTAACTCATACTCCTGATAATGAACTGAGTAACAAAGGGACTAAACTCAAACAGATGTATCACCAGCACCCTTTAAACTGCAGATACTCAGAAACCAATGTTGAAATCTAACCTGATTGGCATATGACTTCCAAGGCAGCATTCCGATTACAAGAGTACAAGCCGGGGACATTTTGCTCCACAAGGCACTCTGCTAGTGTAGGTCTAGGGTCAGGGTCATGGCACGCTTCAAGCGAAATTTGTAATGGGCGTAACTCCTCCTCAGGGACGTTGCCAAGAAATGCAATATTGGGCCCCCGGTAGCCAAGGTGTCTGCAAACAACGTCAGCATCAGACGTAGTAAAGCCGTAATTGCAGATGCTGCTCCACTGTCCATGGAAGAACAATTCCACGTGACCCGATCTTGGGCTCGAGCCATTCACCAAACGAATTGAGAAATCTTCGTCTGAGAGGAAAAAGAGGACAATGACAGAATTACGGGTGCATGGCTCAAAGTGTTGAGTTTTGCACCTTTACTAAATTTACGACACGTTGAACAATGGAACCCAATGATGAATACATCCTCAGTAATTCCTTAAACCTGAAATAAATCTCCGTCTGAATAAATCCTTGTATCGCTTCGTAGGTAAAAAATTTCTTGTAGTTGCTCAATCGCACATCCCTTTGTAGTTGAAATTGATTTGTAGTACTTTCCGGCCAGGAGCGGCCGCACCATTCATTGGGTCAAGCAATATACAGCACCTGATCAATGGTCAATCAATCACATGAAAGGGATTTATAGACCACTCTCATTTTACAAACAGTTTGCACTGGTGACTAAAGTTTGCAGAAATCACCCTTTTCACAGGCTGTTTTTCAATTGTACCTCAAATATGTTCATGGAGTACACTTGTCTCATTAATTTGAAAGAGGATTGTATTTTCATTCATTAGTTAGGGCATGCTGGAGTTTGAAATTAAGTTGCTTGGGATTTTCAAGACTTTTTGACTTTGTTTTTTGTGCTGGTATAGTTTTTGCAGCCACTTGTGACACATAAAGAGCAGAAATATTGTGGCACATGTATTCAACCATGGCAACGCAAGGACATGAAGGAGGTTCAGTAATGCCTCATACATTTTCACCTGATATTCTAATAATTACATCTTTACTGATAACTATACATAAAACATAAATAACAGGCATCCCGCCAATGAAAAAAGTAACGCTAGATAGAAACAGAATATAATTGTCTGAACAAGCATTTTCCAAAAATAGTCCTTGTCTGGTATAGCTTATTCCATGGTTTGATTGATTATGGCTTGATTGGATACTAGCAACTTCTGCTGCACATTTAAGCTGGAAGATCCTTTTGTGAAAAACATTCGTCAATTGTGTATTGATCGAAAAAAGAACACTAAGTACCTGCTTGGCAGATGACACCTGCATGTTGATATGAAAAGTGAGGACAGAAATAATCAGGCTCTGATATACAATCAATCAGTCTATTCTCTTCCCCACTGCAGTTCACACCGATTAGTTGCTGAGAGGTTACGCCCTGTCCAAAGATTAGCCCCACAACGGCTACGCTCAAGCCGCTGGTGTAACCAAGCTGCCTGCACACCACTCGGGCCGCGTTGCTGTTCCAACTTCGGTCACACACTGTACGCCACTCGTCGTTGACAAATATTTCTACGCGGCCTTCTGTAGCGGATGAACCGTCAACAAGTCTGACAGGAAAGTCATCATCTACAGAAAGGAATTTAACACAGTGGAACAGATCTTGGACGCATGCAGAAACTGCACTATAAAGTTGAAATGTTGAAGCCAGCACTTTACATATATGCAGCCAGCAGCCACGATTCAAAATGCAGTCACTGAGTATTACTTGCATGTGTACGTGTGGTGAGTAAGTAAATTTTCAAAATGTTTAACCGAACTTGTAAATGTTACGTCCAACATTTAAAGTGTTAATTCAACAATTTAAGAAGTAAATAACTTCACTTTTTGTAAATATCTTGATGGTACTATGCGAGGCTTTCGCGTAGACTGGACCCGAAGCCTACGTTGCATGCTTTACACATCTTGCCGCGACTTTTAAGCGACACATTGCATACATGCATGTGTCATTTCCAAATCGGTGTTCTGTCATCATCTAAGCAGATGGTCATTCAGCATTTGCAGGCCTACCCACAGGTACTCTACTGCAGGGAACCATACGGGCAGTGTTAACGTTAATGAGGGCAGGTTAATTTGTGGTGCAATGTGCTTGGGGTGGGAGGAGGGTCTGCATCATATTCGATTGCTTGGTCAGTCTATTATCTCACCTGCTTGGCATTTTACACCAGCAACGTAAAGACAGGATGCACCCAAAGGACCCAGAGAACAGTCCGCAAGATTTGCCTCATCACCTGTACAGTCAACGTTGGTTAGATGAGAGGGTACATGTACCTCCCGTTGGTAAAGAATAGCCAGGAAGATGCTAGGACCGATATAGCCCAGTTGACGGCACACTACGCTGGCATCCATCTTATCCCAACCGTCAGAGCATATAGTTCCCCACCGACCGTGAAGCATAACCTCAACACGGCCAGCCGTCACTGGCAATTCGTCATGTGCGATTTGGACCTGGTATTCATCTATATCAAGAAAAAAAAAAGAAATTCAGTCCTACTCACTCTTACTACATCTGGGCCCATGTGGAGCATAGTGTTAAGGGCATCATTTTCAGTGTGTCCTAAGTGGTTGCTCTTTCATGTATTATTGCCAGGACTTGAAATTTAATTTTCTTGGACAATTCAGTTTGTTGTATTCAAGCAAAATCAGCCAAGTGTGCTGGAAAAGTTTAACCTGTCAGTTTCTAACCAACTGGTGCCTGCACCCAATCTGGTCATTAAAGTTTAATAAGCCTTCAGCTAGATTTTGTTGGGAAACCCATCCAAACCCATAGTTACAGCAGACCGCGCAAGATTAATTTACATTTTTTGCAACAATGGATGATTTTGAAAGGGAATTGGACGTGTAACCATGAAAGCTCCGGCTTTACTCAGAAAGGCAGGGCAGAATATGGGCATTTCACAATAGTGCACCTCCAAGAGTTTGCGATGCTTTGACCAATCATAGTGCACAAAATCTGTAGACCTATATGTAATGCGCATTTGGAAAGGGTCGACAAATTTTGTGCATTGTGATTGGCCAATGCGTTGCAAACTCTTGGAGGCGCACTATTGTGAATCACCCCTATTTGAATCAGAATCTTTTATTTGATTCAGTGCCAGACAATTTGTTTTTCTTTTCTGGGAGATGCAGAAAAGCCGTTGTTCTTAACAAGATATTATTTTTGTGTTTTCACATTTTTCCGTCTGAAATCTCAAAGACTTTGTGCATGGTTTTATTTTTCTCAGTGGCACTTTGGCCAATTGAAAACTCAAGCCAAGTAGCATGCCAGTTTTGGTCAATTGTAAAGGTTGTTTTTTCATGAGCTTCAAGCCTGAATAAATTGAGACTTGCATTCATCCAGTGTTCTATAGGTTATGGATAAATGTTACATGATGCAATGACGATGCTATTACTTTGTTTTTTAATAAATTAGTTTTATTTTAATTGTCTTATTCTAAACAAAGCAAGGTTTTCTAAAACCCTTTTGCAAAACCTTTGAGTCAAAGCAAATTTGTACGTTTTGCAGAAATTACTGTGGTCATAATAACGTAATTGAAATGGCCAATTTTTGTTTTGCATTTATAATTTTAATACGAATTGATGATGTCATCAATGAATTTTAAATGAACTTTCATAATTCAGGTTTTCTGTAAAAAGTGTACTATTGGTTCTTAGATTAATTTGAATCTTCACAGATATAAAGTCCTTAGTCCAGATTAAAAGAACTCAATGCAAAGACATCATGATAAAGTTGTCAAGTTACTTGACCTGAATTTCAAAAATTTTTAACTGACTCTTATCGATATTTTTACATGTTTGTTCTTACGGCAAACCCAGCTAGCAGGCTTAAACAGATTTTAAGAAGTGGAAAAAATCTTTTCATCTGTGCACAGCAACAACAAACTCTCTTCCTTTTTTCCTAATTTTTCTTTCTAAATTCCGCTAACTTTGTGCGTGATTCTTCAGGTGCATGCCACGTACTGCGGCCTTGCAATTTCAAATCTTCAATTTCAGTCAAACTTGAGCTGAATCAAAGATTTTAGGCCGAAGTTGTGCACTGATCTGAAAGTAATGATGTCATTAAGTGTCTGATTAATTTGTAGCTCTGCATTTAGAGTATGTGCATGGGTGATATTTGTTACGGGTGAAATCTTAGATGACACTTTGATTAAGTCATCACTATTTTATATATTTAGATATTTTATTTTTCAATTTCATAGCTATTGTCAATCTGTCTGATCTTAATTCTTTTAAGAAGACTGTTATGTGGAACAGCGGCACCTTTCACAGAAATATTACTAATTTATAGGATTTTTATAATGCCCTCTCCTGCAGGGCCCACCTCCTTGAGAGCAAATTACAACCTAAACACAGTAACAATACATAAATGCACCTCTAACGGAAATGTTTGTGCTGTCATGATGACGCCATAAAAAATGCTTTTCTGCAGAAAACTGAGCATCCATTCATGTTAAATTTGGTGGATAGATGCTGTGCATCTTTTTCAATTTAGTGCATTGACATCATCGGTCGGTTTTTATTCTGGTTTGTATAACCATTTTTTAAAAATCATTTTCTTCCACTTGTAATCATTTTGACCTATCGCATTCAACTTTACCTAAAATATGTCGGAGTTGAAGTCCTCCGCGATTAGCAAGTATCGACTACAACAACATCAAGATAATCAATGAGTAATTTTTATAAGGATTTTTAACCGACGCCCATTGACGTTTCAAATATTTTTCTTGTTGTTAAAGCATTTGGCAGAATAAATAATATTAATTAATCTAGAATGCAAGTAACGTAGTAACGTTTCAATTTCATTAATGTGTGAGTTTTTGTCATTTCCAAAGTTCTATCGATCTCTCATAGATTTGCACATGCCTTTTTCAACCTCGTTGCGCCTATGGGGTATCCAAGTTTTTACATGTGTTGTAGGTGGAAATTGAGATGATGTCATAATAACATCATCACTTCTATTTCTTAAGATTTAGTTTCTTTCACGTAATTCATGGCAGTGCATGTATATATCTTGTACAAAATAAATCTCAAATTCTTTACATGGTACATGTATCTGTGAGACAAAGTAGATACGCACTCTATGTGGCCATTTTTTTGTGACGTTTGATGACGGAATCCAAACTGGCAATGTTTGCTTGGACTGTAAAGGAATATTTGATTTTCATGAGAGGTATCCCGTACGGTATGTCTTCTACACTGCAACTATGAAGGGGCATTATGCTGACATCATCAATTGATGCTAAAAATACTGACTGAATATTTAGTAAGTTGTCTCATAAGGCTTTGAACACATTTTTCAACGTTATACTTGTGTGTGTCTCTGCCAGAACAATGTCCTGTTCTTTGTAAATATCGGAAAAAATAACGCAGGAAAGCCCTTTATTTGTAAATGTTACCTGCTTGGCACATAACGCCAACAGTGTGGGAAGGACATGGAAGAACTCCCCAGCCACGAAAGGTGCAATCAGTCAGCTTAGTCTCATTTCCACTGCAGTGGATGTTATTCATGCCGTACATGTCCAAAGCTCCATGCCCGCCCGCAAAGAACCTTTCATTCGCCAGCACACTTGATCCGTCGTAACCCAATTGTCTGCAGATGACACGACCGTATGTTTGGTCCACGCTATCATAGTTTCGGCATACGGCCACCCAGTTTCCATTGAAGAAAACCTCGACTAATCCTGACGTGTTCGAAGGACCGCCAACAAGTCTCACTGGGTGGTACTCATCTTTAAATATATAAAAATATATTATATTGAAGAGCTCTTAATCGTAGGAGGGTTTGCCCCGCCCCATCCCACAGTAAGTACATCCTTGGGTGGGAGAGGCAAGTTGAGAGTCCACCCTGCGTGCACAGTAAATGGCGGGTGGAGTCAAAAGGCTTGAGCGGCCCATTGAAAATGTTCAGAGGCACAAATTTGAACGTCATTTTCTCTCAGCTTCCGCACATCTTCCCCTTTGTCTTCGGAAAACCCGAAAGGATGTTACACCAAACTAAATAAAAAGCCTTATTATCTCTCTCCTCAAGCACACAAGGCCAAAAGAAATTAACAGAGCTTCTTTCCAACCATGTCCAATTAAATAGTTTTTACTTGACGGCACTACGCACCACTCATATCACAGGCGACCTTCAGACTGGTTTAGACGTTTCACCACTTATGTCGTCCACCGAGAATGGTGGATGGTACCCTAACGTATAGCACAATTTGCTTTACAGCTCGCACAGAACGGAACCTAACTGATTTCTTTCGACCATGTTAGCTTCGAACAAAATTTTTCAAGTTTTTATTTTGCTCTCCAAAATATTTTCTCACACTAGAAAGTAACAGCTGTAATGATTTTAGAGGGTTTTCCGAAGACGAAAGTGACAAAAGTGCAGAAGCTGAGAGATAATGACGTTGGAATTTGTGCCCCTGTATGTTTTCAATGGGCCGCTCAGGGTTTTTGCCTCCAGCTGTCATATATGCGCATGTGCACATAAATTAAAGTTATAAGTGAACTGGTCTATGCCCTGGTAAAAACCAAACAATTAACTCACCTGCCTGACACACTATCCCAACTGCAAATCCAGAGGATTCACTGACACTCATCATCTGGCAGTCGGCCAGGGTGGGCTCGTCACCTCTGCAGTCAAACTTGTATGGCATCATTACAGGTTTTCCACCATCCCCAAAGAAGTTCTGTGAGACAGTTACATTTTGTCCAAAATGGCCTAGTTGTCTACAGACAACGCTGCTCGCAGCGTCATCCCAGTAGTTATCGTTCACGTTCTCCCACGAGTCACCATAGTTAACCTCCAAACGCCCCTGTTTACTTGACAGTCCATCGACAAGGCGAACTGCCAGGAATGCTTCATCCTCTGAGATGGAAATTTACCACATCTGAAAATCTTATTTAATCAAATAAGGAAGTATATCTGCAGATATCTTAATAATAACTTATTATGATTGCACACCTTTTGTAGCAAAATTAAAGTGTCATCATCTTTCTATCTGTGCTGATTTTGATCGAAAAGAAATCGTTGTGCGGCAGCTCCATGACCAGTGTCAAGACTACGCTCTCCTTGCCTGTCAGCCAACATGGATTCCTTCTACATCAGCCATGTACTGCCTACAGATCAGAGCACGAACAGAGCCTAAGGCACTTTCCCTGTTCTTTCCCTTTCTGTCTGATTTTTGGGGTGGGTCAGTTCAGTTGGTTGTTGGTTACTTTCCTTCTTTTTTTAAATTTTCTGCATGAGATAAGACCTCAATGTTCCATGTTTTTCTCACTTGAGTCCTGTTTTGCTTTTTTCTGTTTCGGTCTAAATTTTTGTTTTCGGTTTTAAATGAAAAGAACTACATTCATTCATTTGGAAGACAATTCAAAAAGTAATTTACACGAAAATCATACCAATTTGACAAGAAACGAAAACACTCCGGACACTCCTAGCTGCTAACCAACCACCTGATGAGCAGTCGTCAAGAGCAATTTCATCACCAACGCACTCAACACCCCCAAAATATAGAGGCTGGCGCTGATAAATCGAATATGACAGGGTTGGCCCGTGGAATCCCAGCTCACGGCAAACAACAGCGTCGTCTATCAAGGCATCCCAGTTGTCATAAGAAACGCCTCCCCAAATTCCTTGGAAGTTGATCTGGAGGACACCTTGTCGTTCTGATGTCCCACCATGAAGCCGGACAGGGAAATCGTAGTCTGTTCGAAAAACAAAATCAGCTAAATGAAGCCAGCATAAGTCGAATATGATGACAAAGGAAAATCTTTCTCTGATAGCAATACAAAGTACTGCTGTACTATACATGGTACTTCTAAAACATGGATCTGGCCAATACTAAAGGCGGACCACAGTGAAATAAATGTCAGACCTAATGGGCTCATACAAAAGGATGCTGGAAACAACGCATCTTGCATTTTGGTGGCAATAATCACTTAAAGCTCGTTTCCATATTGACATAAAGAGATGCAGGCGTTGTCAAATGTCCACCGAATGGCAATGACGTGGAAACGTTTACTGCAACTGACCAAAACAGGGATGCAGGTAGTCAGCAAAGTTGGACATGTTCAGCTCAGCCGACTTTCTGTGTCAAGTTGCGAGAGAAAGCCAAAAAAATAAACAAACATGTCTGAATGACAAGTGTGAATGTTAAGTAAGCACCACACAGTTTACCCATTACTTCTTACTGCTACATGTACATGTAAAACAACGACGCCCGAGAATCAACAAATGAAATACATCCAAATTTGGCTTCAGGAGGCCGTACAACTACGAAGATGTTTCAGGCAAACTTTTTTTGAGTTTCGGAAGCCAATTTTGTTGCATGACGTCACGCGTCTCTTCCGTGACCAAACGTAGAAATGGGCCCTTGTTTTGCAAAGATGCTCTGTTTGAATTGTAAGTAAAGAAAAATGGAAAAAAGTGAACTTTATTCAAAGTGCTTCTATGATTTAGTTTGGTAATGAACCAGGCCTTCAAGCCCCCCCCCCAAGTTATTTCTACGTCACACTGTGGTACAAGTTCGGAATAGAGCCATAACTAGATTTTTGTTTGATTTATATATAGAGAGAGAGATAGATAGATAGAGCTTCCAATGTCCCTATTTGATCTAATGACCGATAGCATCGCGAATTTGCCTTGAAAAATCTCAACCCGGTTGCACTGTGCCTCCATGGCACGGCTCTGTAGTGACAAATCCACCGGCCGTGGGGAGGGAGGGGGGAGGATTGCCCCCCCCAGACATGTTCATCCCTTGTAAGGAATTCAAGACACCAACAGCTTTAAAATAGTACGGTATATAGTTTTGAGGGGTCTTTTACATATTGCATAATAAATCGGGTTATCGTTTCAGGACGAAAAATTATTTGAAAAAAAAAAAATTCCCTTGAGTCACAAGATCAAATCATCGGTCAACAGAGCCCTCATCCGCCGAGCCTACAACATATGCGACCAAGAACACCTACGCAAGGAACTCCACCACAACTCCACGGCACTCCAACGCAACGGATACCAGCCCCAGTAGATCAAAACTCAAGACCCAAGATCAAGTCCCCCTCCCGGCAGTCGGGC